GCGCCGGCAGAGTCTGGCGGAGATAAGACACACAGAATTAGCAGGCCGTAAGGGCGCCATGGCCCTCCAGAGCGGGGCGAGGGAGGGGGACACCCGTGACGCGAGAGGGCTGCGGTGCTGTGCAACGAGATAGAGCACCTAGTGTGGCAGTGACGGCCCTTCCTGTGTCTGTCTCTACCCGACCTGTCTGTAAGGAATGGTCTTTCGATATCCCCAAAGTATTCTTGATTTCCTCCCCATTTATTTCACACCAAAGCTGCCAAAGTGCCAGAAATAAGCCACCGACTATCTTTCGCCGGCCGGCTGGACTAATGTTCGTGAAATTCCGGAAAGACGGGAGGAACTAGACCTGTTGTATTCGTCCCAGCCAGAGGTCTCGCTTTTCTACTCCCAGTCTCGCAGATTACAGACCAGGGCTGCGTTGTTGGCGCCAGTGTAGGAGACAGATGGACCGAAAGTGCAGGGCTAGCGGTATGCGAGGCGGGCGCGACTGGAGGACGCCTCTGCCAGGAGCGCGGACAGCCAGTCGAGGCTGGGCAAGCAGCCACTGCAGTCGCCGGTCTAAAACACGGAGGATTATGCAGCTTGCTAAACGGTGCGTCGGTGTTTCGGGGCCTTGAGGGGTAGTTGTTTCAGAAATTGGTCGTGTTTTAATTCGAGTCTTTTATCCTACAGAGACTACGAGCAAACGGCGTTTTAAGAATTTTACCTCCAACAGTGGTGTGTGCATGTACTCTCATGAGTACAGTGATAACAAGAAAAGCTCGTCATTCAATTACAAACGGACAATTTAAAAAATGACGTTTGAATGTTCTGTGTGCAACAAAAAATTAAAAACAGGTCAAGGTCTTCGTGTACATCTTCAAACGCACACAGGCGAACGGCCATTTGAGTGTTCGGTGTGCAACAAGAAATTTGTGGCAAGAAATAATCTCCGATTACATTTCCGCACACACACCGGAGAAAATCCCTTCGAGTGTTCTATGTGCGACAAGAAATTTAAGACAAGTAGCAATCTCTGTAAACATTTCCGAATGCACACAGGAGAACGACCCTTTGAGTGCTCTGTGTGTAACAAGAAATTTACGCAAAAAAGTATTCTTCAAAGCCATATCAAAACTCACACAGAAGAAAGACCCTTCAAGTGTTCTCTGTGCAGCAAGAAATTTACGATAAGTTCTAATTTCCGTAGACATTTTCGTACGCACACCGGAGAAAAGCCCTTCGAGTGTTCTGTGTGCAACAGAAAATTTACCACAAGTGATGGTGTCCGTTCTCATCTCGTAACTCACACAGAAGAAAGGCCATTCGAGTGTTCTGTGTGCGATAAGAAATTTAAGACAAGTGCAGTTCTGTGTGGACATGTCCGAACACACGCGGGAGAACGGCCCTTTGAGTGCCCCGTGTGTAACAAGAAATGTAGTGATCTACAAACCCATCTCCGGACTCACACAGGAGAAAAGCCCTTCGAGTGCTCAGTGTGCAACAGACAATTCAGCAGCAATAGTGGTCTTTCGAGCCATCTCCGAACTCACACAGGAGAAAAACCCTTTAAGTGTTCTGTGTGCAACAAGGAATTCTCGCAAAGTGTTTCTCTCCGTACTCATTTCCGAATACACACAGGAGAAAATCCCTTCGAGTGTTCTATGTGCGACAAGAAATTTAAGACAAGTAGCAATCTCTGTAAACATTTCCGAATGCACACAGGAGAGAAGCTCTTCGAGTGCTCAGTGTGCAACAAGAAAGTTACCACGAATTATGGTCTCCGTTGCCATCTCAGAACTCACACAGGAGAAAGACCCTTCGAGTGTTCTGTGTGCAACAAGAAATTTAGGCAAAAGGGTGCTCTTCGAGGTCATCTCAGACTTCACACAGGCGAGCGTACCTTCGAGTGTCCTGTGTGCAACAAGAAATTTAGTCAAGACCCTGGACTTCGAAGCCATCTCAGAACTCACACAGAAGAAATGCCCTTCGAGTGTTCTGTTTGCAACAGAAAATTTGCCAGCAGTAGTGGTCTTCAGTGCCATGTCAGAACCCACACAGATGAAAGGCCTTACCAGTGTTCTGTGTGCAGCAAAAGATTTATGACAGCAGGTGGCCTTCGTCGACATTTTATTGGAATGCATACTGTAGCTAGTGGTTCACAGGGACCTGATTAAACTCTTGTGAGATAAATGACTTGTTTGGTGTACTATGTACTGTGTGATTGAAGGAACATGTTTTAAGTTTGACATTCGATCTGCTTGTATCTACACTAGCTTTGCTGTAAATCGTATGTGCTTTTAATCTGTTTTTTTTTTAAAACATAAAATACAAAAGGAAACTGTTAGCATGGAGCGTTCATTGTAGTTTCAGTACTTTGATCTCATTGCTGAGCTTAACCTGAACTTGAAATTAAACTTTAGCTTTAAATGCTCAGCTCTGTCAGAAAGCGCAAGGGGAGACCGCCCGGAAGACGGCGTGAGGTGAGGTGGACAGGCATGCAAACAAAATCGGGAAAACATTTTAATTTTAGCGCGCCGCAGGCCAAGGTAGACGCACATGTAGCTCAGCTTCACACGGTTTTAACGTGCGTCTACCTTGTAATTGTTAATGGTGACTGTTTGCAGTCGTCGTCACCATCATGATCATACATTGAGTCTAATTAGCTTCTCTCATTATTTTTTTGTGAGTTTTGCTCGCACCTGGGTGTAGTCTTTTTAGGATAATGGTCCCGCCCGAACCCGCCCGCCCGTTCGCTTTCAAAGAACCGCGCGCGCCGCCCGCACCGCCCGCTCCCCCTCTCCCCTCGTCGTCTCCTCCTCGTTTTACACGCCGCCCCTGTTCTCCCCTGAGACTGAGACCACCACCTCCCAACCGCGCCCTAGCTCCGCGGCCCGCGGCGGCTGAGGCTCTCGGCTCGACTCGGCTCGACTCGGCCACCTTGTCGGCTCGATTCGGCCGCGCCCGTCTTGTGCAGCGAAGACGAATCGGCCCGCGATAAACACCCATCGGCGTGTGCACTCCATCACAGGGGCCGAAAACGGAATCTCGGGCGAGTATTCTAGGGTATACTAGCGCGGCCGCGGGCGCAGCTCAGCCACACACACTCAGAGAAAAGATTACATGGGCAGCTAAAAAATTTGCTATATATGGACAGCTAACTTTTGGAGCTACGCAGCTAAAAGTTAGCGTGGTAGCTCCACCGGTTTGCTCTGGAGCTATTGTGTTAGTAGTACAGCTAACTTTTTGCTGTACAGCTCCGAAAATTAGTTGTCCACATACAGCAAATGTTTTAGCTGCAAATGTAATTTTTTTTCTGAGTGCACTCTCAGGGGTGGGTCCAGGGCTAACTTACTTCACTGGCATAAAGTGAAAAGGGCGTAAGTCCAATGAAAAGTCCGTGGACTTACGCCCTTTTCACTTTTCACCCGTGACTTACGCCTCCGTGTGTCGCTTTACTCTAGAGAGGCGCGTGCCGAGCGTCCGGCGAGGCGTGAAGGGTAAATCAAGTCCGGTCGAACGACGAGAGAGTTTCCACACCTCTCTCTCTATCTCTCTCTCTATCTCTCTCTCCGCAGTGCTCGCTCATTGAGCAGGGAATGCTAATTCCATCCGCACAGGGACGACGCCGCCCAGCCCACCTCCTCCGACCCCACACCAGTACAGCTGCACAATGCCAGGCGTACCGCAACAGCACCCACCGGTCATAAAAGTTCAAAAGTTAGCAGATGGCCAGGCGGGGCGGGGCG